AGGGTTTGCTGGATTTTCACCGGCCCATCCAGCCCCTTGAACAAACTACAGCTATCCCATCCCTATTGCCACTTGGAGTGGAGCAGAAAATGGCTGCCCCATCCAGCCAGCTCAAGGTGCTGCACAATACCCACAGGCTGGCAGGCTTCTCTGGTACGTGAGGGAGAAAGCCATCAAAGCACCTCTTCCCACCTCTGACAGCAAAAACACAATGGCAACATCATGTGCTATGAAGTCAATTCATGTTTTGGTTATGGTTACATTTTCCAGGGTTTTCTAGGTAGAGAGTATTCAGCTGGCCCAAGGCTAACAAGGCTGGCTCTTCTCCTGGGAAGCACCACCGGGAATTGAACTACCAACCTCCGGCTCTGCAGCCAGAGACCTAAATCACTGAGCTACCATCATCAATTAAGTAACAATTTGCAGTGCTTTTACAACACCAAAAATTCCCTGCCCAAAGCAGACACCTCATTTCACCTAACGTTAGGGCCAACCCATTGCTTGGTGTATCCGCAGCTCACTCACGTGGTGATCTGGAGAACTTTATGTCTATCCCCTCAGTGATTTTCCCAACACCCCTGCGTGACAGACCAGTCATATTACCCCGATATTCTGTTCTGACTGTCGTGCTCGAGTAAAGGGGTTAACAGGACTGGAGGAGACCCCTTCAGAGGAATTGTCTTGATTTGAAAAGGATGCAGAAGCAGAATTCTGCTGCCGCCTTTCTCACCCAATTGGGATAACTTTTGCCAATCTTGCGGAAAACACACACACACCCCAAATTTCATCACTCTCTGGAGTTATTTCTATGCAGAGTAGAAGGGTGAAAAAAAATCTGGTCCAGTCTGGCTGTAAGGCAGACTGAAAATGCCACCTCATAGGACATATTTTGGGGGTCATCATAAAAATTGGTCGCCATGCCATTTGTCCTTTTTTCTTGCCGAAGGAGGAGAAAGTTGCATGTGGAATATAGACTTCCTCTACCAAACAGATTGGCTAATCTTGACTTGGACGTGCATCAAGGACACAATCTGCTGCGGCTTCAGGTAGCAAAATGTCGTAGGCCCATGGTTCCCAACCTTGGGTCTCCAGATGTTCTCAGACTAAAGTCTTCACCATGGCCTGGGCTGGCCAGGATTTCTGGAAGTGTTCATCCAGGAATATCTGGGGGCCTATAGTTGGGAACCACTGGTTTAGGCTATTCCTGAACACTGGAATGACCATATAAGGGGCTCTCTGCATAAATAGGGGTGGAAAACTGCTGCCATTGGTAGCAAGGGCTTCTAAAAGCTTATTTCAAATTTCCTGGGTTGTTTCACCAGCCTTAAGGCTCTCTGTGTGAGCAGCATCCTATTCAGATGGCAGAGGGTACACTTACTCTTCAGCCTCAGACGGCAAAATACCTTGGGCCGGGCCAGGCCTCCATAGATACTTCCGCTTCTGGAAGCGCATTGTTTCCGCAAAGTGGACTGTATGTCAGCAAGTATGGCCTGCTTCCTCCTCGCTTCTCTGAACGATCTTTGCTCCATCAAATAACAGAATCTCCTCGCTGACCTAGACTGTCATACTTGGAAAGGATGGGCCTGCTCCACTGGGGGGGGGTGTCAGCATCTTTTGGTCTTCTATCTCATCTTTCCTCATGTTGCTCTTTTTGGGAATTCCAAGAGCAGGCAGACGCAGAGCTCAGCTTGACACACTTTCTGGTACCCCCGCTGTTAATCCCCATCACTGATCAAATGCACCCAATGATTGTAATTATGACTTAATTATTAGGCAGTGATTATTATTAGACAACCCCTCAATTAGTGTACACCCATATGCTGGATGAGATCCCTCCCAAGCCAGTGCAGTGGTTAAACTGCTGTACTGCAGCCAAAACGGTGCTCATGACCTGGGGTTCAATCCCAGGTCGTGGCTTAAGGTTGACTTAACCATTCTATTTTTCCGAGGTCCGTAAAATGAGTACCCAGGTCAAGGGGGGAGGGGGAGAATGTGTAGCCTGCATAATTAACTTGTAAACTGCCCAGAGAGTGCTTGAAGTACTATGGGGCAGTATATAAGCTTTGCTTTGCTACTTTTTTAGACACAGAATACTGCACAAGCAAAATAATTACTGCCCCTGCTTTATTCAATTGCTCTTCCCCGAACAACCTTCAGAACACGGCCAAAGAACCCGAAAAACCCACAACAACCTTCTAGAAGTCTATTGCTAAGCAAGAATCATGACATGCCTAATATCACCTACTGAGGACCTGGCTCCAAAATGAAATGTTGTATTCAGGTGTGAATAACAGAGCAACAAAAAATGTGCGTCAGATTTGAACCATTAAATACACCAATTCTTCCATATTGCATTTTTATCTCATTTTCTTTTACCTTTTCTTTTAACTGTTTGTATACAATCTTTTAGCATAAAGCCAGTCTCAAGACAGCTTAATAAAAGTGTTAAAGCCTCAGTACATACTGTAGAATACATGAAATGTAAAACAGTTCAAATGTATTAAACCAGCAAAAAAGAAAAAAGAAAAAAGAAAAAGAAAGAAGGAAGGAAGGAAAAGTGTTTTCAAAGTCTATCTGAAAATAATCAGAAGGGGGGGGGCTTGCAGCTTCCTTAGGAAGGCATTTCTAAAAATATAAGGCCCCCACTGAAATCATCTTTTAGCATAAAGCCAGTCTCAAGACAGCTTAATAAAAGTGTTAAAGCCTCAGTACATACTGTAGAATACATGAAATGTAAAACAGTTCAAATGTATTAAACCAGCAAAAAAGAAAAAAGAAAAAAAGAAAAAGAAAAAGAAAGAAGGAAGGAAAAGTGTTTTCAAAGTCTATTTGAAAATAATCAGAAGGGGGGGGCTTGCAGCTTCCTTAGGAAGGCATTTCTAAAAATATAAGGCCCCCACTGAGATCAGGGCCTCTGAACATGAACACACGAAGGTTCATGTTGCCACCATATCTCCTTGCCTTAATCCTTGACCTTTACCTTTACCTTTACCTTTTTACTGAGATCAGGGCCTCTGAACATGAACTCATGAAGGTTCATGTTGCCACCATACCTCCTTTCCTTAATCCTTGTCCACCAGAATAAATAAATTCAATACTTGTACTGAATGCATTCTGCTGTAGTTTCTGACTCTGAGAATTCCAACATATAGCCAAAGGTTTAAGATCAGCATTTAAGTTAAATGTATACATCTTGTATTTCCAGAACCCACCGAAAATTTTAATATCATTATCCAACTCTGGATGGGGCCAACCTAACGATAACCAGAGAGCATTATTTTTGGCTCTTGACATCCTTGTTCATTGAAAATGACATGGATCGGTTTTTTTTTGTTTCAGAACACTACACCGGTGGGGCCAAAAACATCCCCAGGGACAAAAAGCAATAGATTTGTTGGGACAAATTTTATCCCAGCCATTTTCTGTTTTCTTATTCAGAAATAAAGCCAACCAACCAGCCTTGTAAATGGCCAGTGTGACTGAAATGCGGGTATGTTGTTTAAAACTCTTTGGTTGACAATGGCTGAAATCCAGCAGTAAGTCACAAACAGGACGGGCACTTTGAATCAATGAAACTTACATAAATGTTGACTCCCTACATACCCACCGGTTTAAGAGTTTTACTCTTGCTACTGCTGAGCCATTTTATGCCTTCCTTGTAAGATCTGTTGTTGTTTAGTTGTTAAGTCATGTCTGACTCTTCGTGACCCCATGGACCAGAGCACGCCAGGCCCTCCTGTCTTCCACTGCCTCCCGGAGTTTGGTTGAATTCATGTGAGGTTTAGTTTTGTGTTAATTCTGAAAGAAAACAGGACCCAGGAAGGCCAAAATGTCCTCACTTAGTCAATTACATGTGAGATGGAAGAATGGACACACAGAAGTGCTTCTTATCCGTTCTGACATTTGTATAATTGTTTCGTAAGAATCAGACCCCCTTTTATGGCTTAAGGGGAAATTTCCAGCTTTTATTCTGAGCTGTAGGAGAGGTGAAGTCACTTGTTTGAACTATAACTCCCAGAAACTGCTAGTCTCCAAAATAATGTTACACCTCTTTGCTTCTCTGTGATTTTACACTGGGTCTCAAACATAGCCAAGAAGTGGACGGATCTATAATATAACTTGCGGATCCCTTTTCTCCTCATAGGGAGGAAACCAGGGAGAGCAGACATACACCTCGTTACATCTTGCCAGCAGTTGGAAAGCAGTGACACCCAATTCCCCAAAGGTAGGGAGAGAAGTAGGTGTTTATTCGATTGCGTGTGTCAGGTTGGAGGAGGGATTACAGTCCTTCCTCTGGGAGTAGATCTGCGTCTGATGACGGTCTAGAAGCTGGCACCGGCACCGCAAGGAGGGATTACAGTCCTTCCTCTGGGAGTGGATCTGCGTCTGATGACGGTCTAGAGGCTGCAGCTCCAGGCTGATTGGGATGCAGATCAGCCACGCTCCTGGTCTGCTGACATTTGCAGGAGCTGAATCTGAATGGCAGCATGGATGGAATCTTAATCAAGAGGGAGGAGAAGAGGGTCGGCTGCCGGCTGCCTGGGTGGCAAGACTTGGGCTTATGCAATCCATGTAAACAACCCCTCTGTTTAGGTAGATGCAAGAAGCGATGGGGTGTCTATGTGTGTCTGTGTGTGTGTGGCAGTGGGTTGAAAACAAGAAGCTGCTGGAAACAGGAAGCTGCCTTAAACTCAGCAAGTCTGGATTAGGGAACATGTTCAGTAAACTACAATTCAGAGCCTCAGATTATGGTAAAAGGTAAAGGTTTCCCTTGACATTGAGTCCAGTCGTGCCTGACTCTAGGGCGCGGTGCTCATCCCCGTCTCCAAGCCGTAGAGCCAGCGTTTGTCCGTAGACAGTTTCCGTGGCCACGTGGCCAGCGCGACTAGACAGAGAACGCTGTGACCTTCCCACCGAGGTAAACCCTATTTATCTACTCGCATTTTTACATGCTTTCGAACGGCTAGGTTGGCGGGAGCTGGGAGAAGCGATGGGAGCTCCCTCTGTCACGTGGATTCGATCTTACGACTGCAGGTCTTCCAACCTTGCAGCACAGAGGTTTCTGCGGTTTAACCTGCAGCGCCACCACGTCCCACTCAGATTATGAGGGGCCATTAAATACAAATTAAAAGCAATTTTTATGTAATAGTCAGAATAATAATACGGTTATAACGGAAAGCCTTTCCAGAACCACTGTTCTCACTCCTCTGTATCATCACTGCTACCCTGTTCTTAATCCCAGCCTCCCTACATCTGTGCTCCCTATCATACCATTAGGAGCCAACAGTGGGAGGCGGCTGCAAAAAAGGCAAATGCTATTTTAGGCTGCATTAACAGAAGAATGGTCTCCAGATCCACTGAAGTACTTGATCCCTCCCTGTTTGGCACTGACGAGGCTTCATCTTGAGTACTGTGCCCATTTTAAGAAGGATGCTAACAAACTAGAATAAATTCAGACAAGGGCAGTAAGGATGATCAGGGGACTGGAAACTAAGCCTTAGGAGGAAAGACTGAAAGAATAGGGCATGTTTAGCCTTGAGAACAGAAGACTGAGGGGAGACAGGAGAGCACTTTTCAAATCCCTGAAAGGCTATCATACAGAGGAGGGGCAGGATCTGCTCTCTATCATCCTAGAGTGCAGGATGTTTGTGGCATTCGCCCAGGTCATGAATATTCATATTCTATTTGCATAGACCAATGGGAGTGCTGGAGGGGCGGAGTCACAAAGTATAAGAGACTCAGCAGGATGAGGAGGAGTTTAGATAAGGTTTTGAGATAGAAGGAGTTAGAGAGTTTGGGTGGGGAGTGGTAGTTGAGGGTGGCTAAAGAAGAATGCTTGTTTAAGAGTTAACAACATTGCTTGTTCTGTCAACATCTGTATCAATAAACAATTTATATTTGGTTCTTTTAAAATGACATATGGCCTGGACATCTATCATTAATAATAGGTATTGTTGATGAAATCAACTGCTGGCAGCTGAGGAGCACGTAGCATGAGCTCTTAGTTTGGTGAAACAATCAGGGGCCACGTGGAATTGTAGACAACGTGTAATACTGGGCTCAAGATACTGGACACCAGATTTAGGAACCTATGATCTTTGTAGACAACGTGTAATACTGGGCTCAAGTTACTGGACACCAGATTTAGGATCAATAACAGGGGTATGACAGTGGAACCTATGATCTCGGGAGGTGGTGAGCGCTCCAAGGCTGGAGGCATTCAAGAGAAATTTGTACAACCAGCTCTCACATCTGATTGATTTGGATTCCTGCACGCTCTCTCCTTCCACTCCTCTTTTGATCCTACCCATCTAACTGAAAGCATCTGTGGTCCTGAACGGCATCATTTCTACAGGGGATTCAATGCAAAAAATAAACAAACAATCAAAAAGCAACCCACACACATTGCTGATGCTTGGCTTAAAAAACAAACAGAATATGCTGGAATTCTGCAACCCAAATGTTTTTAAATCTACATGTGAATTTTTCCCTTTTTCAGCTCCTCCCTCCCCGTTGTGTTGTGGGTCATGCCTACTTCCTCAGGCCATGCCCCGAGATTATGTGGATAGTGCAGAAAAAAATATAAATGAGAATCCCCAAAATGCATACTTCTTAGAGGTGAGTTCAAGTGCTGGCTGCCAACAGCCTTCGGGGTATGTGGTTTCAAGCTTCACTCCTGGAATTTTCCACCTAACTCCTCAAACATGGACTCTTGACATCAGCCAAGTGGAAATGCAAAGTGAGGAAAACGTCTCCTTATGCTCCCCAGGTAATACAATTAATCTGACTTTAATTGGCAGCTCCTGCCTGATAGGTATACCACATTTTAACCCCACCTCTTTGATGGAGGCTGCTTGGTTTGCATCTTGCCTTTTTCCCAACCTCCAATCAAGCAGAAACCTTGTATTTTCAAAAGCAGATCTGCAAGGGAGTGGAGATGGACCTACAGATTCTTTGGCCAGTCCTTGGTTTGAAGAGCCAGGTGGGAAATGCCAATCAAAGGCTACCAGGGACGAAGCTTGAAATCACACAGCCCAAAGGCTACAATAGTCTGAACTCACCTCCAAGAAGCACACCTGGCCAACCAACCACCATGAATTTTTAAGACTCTATCATTTACCATTGTCTGCACTATCCACAAAATTGTCATTGCATGGCTGGAGGAATAGACTTGACCCAGGAAAACTCGCTGTTTGCTTGATTTTTAGTGGTCTGATAAAGGTATCGCCTCCTCTTACATTTCCGAAGAAAATTAATTCATACCATCACCTAACGACAAGAATCAAGCAGTTATTGATTTCCAAACAACCCTACTTCTCTCTCTCTCTCTCTCTCTCTCTCAACCCCATCTCTCTCCTGTTCTTCAGGCAGCTGGCCCAAACCAAATGTAGATTCACACCCCGATAGGCGCCCTCCCGCTCTTGCTCCCTGCCACCCATCTGCTCCTTCTGCTTTATACAGAAAGCCCCACCTGTAGCTCAGCCATGGTCAGCTTGTGGTAAATCTTCTCATCATCCCGCCGTTCATCCTGGGGGACGGTCAGGTTGGCCAACTGAGTCTCCAGCTCCAGGACCTGCTGCATCTGCTCTTCCGTAGAAGCCCTGCTTCCACCCAACAGCATGCCCAGTTCCACCATGTAGTCGAGGTAGGCAGCCAACACCTGCCGAGGGAGAGCAGAGGACTGGATTCATTCCTGGGCCTTTGGTGGATCCTTAAAGAACAAACAAAATCCCTCACATCCTTTTTGTTGTGCTTCTTGAACGATCATGACGTCATCAGCTGCAGCTCAAACCCAGCCATCAAAATCCTTCCGAGCCCCCCTCCCAGTTCCGGACATGGGCTCAGAGGCGAAAGAAGCAGTGGGGCCAACAGAAGAGGCCCTCAGGTCCTGACATCACTGCTGAACTGGCCAGCCGTGAGCTGGTACCTCTAAGCTCAGCTTCCGCTAGAGTCTCACACCCATTTCGGAAAGCTCCACTGTTCACAGAGCAGTGTACCAACGCAAGGAAGGTGGGCGTCAGATGAACTTCTGAGGTTAACAGCTGCTCAAGAGTGGAGCGGATGCCAATACAAAAGGCAACTGAACAATGGGATTTATTATATAAATGTCTTGAGTCACCAGATAGGGCTTGAATAACATAGAATTAAACTAAGGTGTCACTGTAAGTTGAAACCTGGAGGGCAATCAAATTGTAGAAAGGCGAAAAGTTGACTTGATATTGCAAAATGAACAGACTGGATGACAGTACAGGATTTTAAACAGACGTCGGGCAACCGTCTGCCAATAATGATTCAACTGTGGGTTACTATATTGGCAGGGAGTGAACGAGATGATCTGAAAACTGGTTTTCTTCCTCTACCACTTTGTGGCGTATATTACTAAAAGGAAAAGGACTCGTTATACTGCAAAAGGAATGAATGTTATCCCTCACTAGGTTGCCAATTTGCTGTAATACAGTTACCGCTTTGCAACTGGAAGAAGGCGCTAATTACAAGCGGTCTAGGGTAATGGCCTCCAGTTACTCCCTAACTCTGAAAAGCATATACTGTACAGAGGATGGTGGTCATTCTCGGTGTGTTTGGTCATCCCCTGTGGTGAGCAAGCTTGAATGGCAGCTCAGAGCATCTTCCAAGCTCTGCCATGGGGTCTTCTCGGCCTGCCCTGAATCACTCAAGCTGGCTTTTCCAAACAAGGTTCTTTCCAGCTTGAAATATAGAAAAAAAAGCAAAGGCACAGAACAGCTCAGCTCCTACTGCAGGATCATCCAACAGATTTGGTTCCTGGAGTACCAGCTGCAACGATGAATGAATAAGTCTGCAATCATTCTCCCCCCCCCCTTTGCCTTTCTACTCCATCACTCCCCCTTCCTTTCCCTTGACCCTGGCTTCGTTCCATGCTGCAATTCCATATATTGCGCAGAAGCTACGTGGCTGAAAAATCTGAGCCTCTATGGACACTGAAAGCAACTTCTCAGCCTCTGGTGACCACTAGATTATGCTTGGAAGCATTTAATACTTTGTTTAAGGTATTTCTCGACTATCGTTCAATTTAGCAAACGTTCACGAGGCAGCTTCCTGACCATAAAGTCACAAGAGCATAAAATACACACTCATGAAACAACAGAATGGTAAAACACAATGGTAAACAGAGGTGGAGGGCTAGGCAAAAAAAATAACCAGGAGAAATACTCATAAAATGCTGCAGGATCAGAATCTGGCTATAGAACAAAAGGTGGCTGCCAAGGTTAAGTTAAAGATCTGCGTAAAAAATGCTTGCTTGCACCTGGTGCTTACAAGGAAACACAACGCATACCGAACTTGACAAGGAAGGGTACTGGGGGGGAAGGGGGGGCTGTTCACCAACCGCCACTCATCTCATCTCCAAAGGGAAGTCGAGGCAGCCCATGCTCATCATCTCAGCAACCAGGCTGACTTGGCTGAGAGCAGGGTGTCCTTGAGATATTCCCTTCCCCAGCTGGAAACGGCTTGTGAGTAGAGACATTCCGGGAACTAGCAGAGTTGTTTTAAGAAGTCGAAATTATTTCCATAACACAGAGCCAGTTCATCATCTTAAGCCCGGAAACCCTCAAGCGCTCTGGGAATAATGGGAATTGTACCGAACACTCCTGGAGGGCATCAGGATCAGGAGGCTGAGCGAGCTGTACCACCTTGCCTTGCCTCTAGGACGGATGTGATGGCAGTCCTGCTGGCTAAGAGGCTCTGGGGACTGCAGTCTAAATAAGTTTATTTCCATACTCTGCGTGTTCTTCATAGAGCATTGTTTGCATCCAAGAGCCAACTTCTGAGGGCATGAGGGGTCTTTTTGCTTGCCTTTTACTGTGGTGGACAACCCCCCAAGTCGAACACCCCTTAGAAAAAAAGCAAAAAGCAGAGTGTGTAGTTTATAAACTGCCCCATAGCACCTAAAGCACGCTCGGGGCAGTTTACAATTTAATGACGGAGGCTACACCTTTTGCTCCCCTCCAAGCAAGCTGGCTGCTCAATTTACCAGCCTCGGAAGGATGGAAGGCTGAGCGAACCTCAAGCCAGTTGATCTGTGATTGAACCTGGGATGCGAGCAGAGTTTTGGCTGCAGTACTGCAGTCTTTAACCACTGTGCCACAAGGCTCCTGAAGAAAACTTTTAGCTGAAAAATAGCAAATGGTGTCCCCAGAAGGTGGTCACTACTTGTTTCTAAAAAGGTTTTTGACTGGCCTGGAAAGACAGAACAGCCTTTTAAAAGCTAAGCCATACCCATGGGCTTCCAGGGCCAAGATTTTCTGGGTTGTTTTTTCCAGCTCAAGGAAACAAAGCAAAAATAAACAAAGCCAAGCAGAAAAGAAAAAAAAAGCCAAGGGGGAGGCTCTTTGGGGGGGGGTCCAGGTGGGCCTAGAAGGGCTCCTTATGGACTCTGGGTGGAGGACCGCACATTGCCCGCCTCAGATGGACAAGGATGGTCCGATAAAAACCCATAAAACCATTGCCGTACTGATCGTCGTATTTTATTGCAGCCCTCAAAGCAAGGAACGCTACCATATAGGAGCTTGTTAACTGTTGTTACATGCCCTCAACTCGGAACTGACTTAGAGCCACCCTAAGAGGGCTTTCAAGGTAAGTGAGATATTTAAGGAGTGGCTTTACCAGTTCCACCCCCCCCTTGTGAGTTTCCATGGCTGAGTGGGGATATGAATGAGGGAATTTGAATGTGAGGATTTGAATCGTGGTCTGTCGCTCTATCTACCACACCACACTGGGTATCCTCATGGAGGCAGTACCATACCTTTTAAAAAATAACATTATGGTGCAATTTCTGGGACAGCAGGAGGTAAGATGGCTGGATTCTGTCCTCTAAAGGTTGAACGCAACCCTGGCAACCCTGTCAAGTTTCTTCTGCTAGTCACCTGCTGTAACCACCAGCATCTGTAAACAGGACCACAGGTAGTTACTGCTGGTAAAAGTCAAAACTGCCTAAGACTCCAGTCTTGCTTGAAGATTTCTCTGTAAAGCTTCCAGGCACGGATCAGACTCACGGCTAGAGAAACACTTGTTGTTGACATGACTGAAGGGGTGCGTTGAAGTACAGTTGTTTTATTAAGGCTGGTGTATTAACAATTGTTGACCCATATTTAATGGGTCAACTGATCCAAGAGAGCTGGTGTGATGGATAGAGTACTGGACTAGGACTCAAGATGACCTGGGTTCAAATCCCTGCTCACCCATAGAAATTCATGGGGCAGTAGTAGTGGCAATGGTCAACCATTCGCTGGACATTTCACTTGCTTCAAAAACTCTATTCAGGTCATCGTAAGTTGGAAACAAGCTGATGGTACACAAACAAAGCAGTGGTTTCCAACCTTATGTAGCCCAGGTGTTTTTGGACTGCAATTCCCAGAAGTCTCCACCACCAGCTGTCTTGGCTGGGGGTTCTGGGAGTTGCAGTCCAAGAACACCTGGGTGACCCAAGGTCGGGCAACATTGACATCAGGCAAGCTTGGTCAGCCAAATGCTGAACGCAGCCAGCACCACGAACTCTACAAAGCCAGAAAAAAATGGCTGAAGAAGATACCGGGTGAAATCCTGCTGTGCAATTTCTCTGCACCATGAGGGTGATGGCATCAGCTGCAGCTGCACCTCAAACATTTTGGAGCAATGAAAAACCTTCCTAACATCACTCCAAGTTTCAGAGATCCCTAGGGATCCCCCTCATCCTGGCAAAGCCTTCAGAAACTGTGGAATGGGGTTGGGAACAATGTACAATCTGAAACCTGGGCGGGAGCGAGGAAGTTTTGGATTGCCTCGAAATGGCCATAGCATGGCTGTAGCTGGTGATGTCACTCGACTTGGGTGGTGTACATTGTGTAACAGGATTTCGCATCTCCAGTGATTCAGGGCTGGGCCTCAATGCCCTTCACTGGCCCTTATCAAAACCAACACTATGCAAAAAAACCCCAAAAAACAAAACAAAACAAAAAAACAAAATGAAATGACGTTTAGGCTTCATTGACATCCTTTATATGGCGAACAGAATTTGAATAAGTGAAGAATTAAAAATGATGATGGACTGTGAATGGGGCCATCCTAAAACGGGCTGGAGCACTCGACTGTGCCTTCCTTACCTTCTCATTGGCTGTCTTGTTCAGGTAGTAATCCCGGGAGGGCAAGAAAAGACCTGACTGGTCCACCTGCCAGATGTGAAAGAGAACCAGTGAATCCAGATGCCAGAATGCCCTGCCCAGCCCCTGAGGCTCCCTCTGTTTTTCTACAGTGCAGGGGAAGGGAATAGAATTTCCAAAGCCAATGAAGGAGAACGTTGTCTATTCAGCAAATCACCCTTACAGACTATGCAAGAGAGGGCTGAAGAACACAGGTTGGAAATTTTGTTTTGCTGGACCACAGCTTCCCGAGATATGGACTGTAGTCCGTAAAGCAACTTTCCCAAGCTCTGATACAAATGGAAGTTTTGGCTCCAAAACAAATCATAATTTTCCTCCGCGTCCTAATGTTCACTGTGAGCTAAATCTGTTTCTCAGATACAGAAGTAGATACTTCTGAGATACAATCACTCAAGTAGCAACTGAATTGTCAGGGCTTGAAAAAATTTTTAGAATGTCTCACCAGTCAAAAATTTCACCAGTCAGCATGACCAGGTTATAGCCTTGCAATTTATGTTAACAATTTTAAACTAGGCACTTCTTCGCTTTTATTTCTACGTAACAATGTGTACAAACCCAAAATAAACTGTATTACGTACACAGGAATCACTGATTTATAGTCTCAGGCTTGGGTTGCTTTATTACCTGTGTGCCTGTGGGGTCATGAAGCTTATATTTTGAATGCCTTTCTTTTGAATGTCTCCAGCAGAAATAAAACTGAAAGCAAAAGCGCCTGGCCTCTTAAGGAACCAGGTCTTCAGTTGAAATTGGGAGCAGGGAATCTCCATATTCTCCAGCATGGGACTACTCTACATTCTCCTGGAGAGCTATATCTCTATGTGCCACTCAAACTCTCTTCTCGCAAGAAGAGGGCAGTTTTCCTTTTGCAATGGCAGGGGGGAGGGGAGGACCGCAGGATCAGAGAGGGACAGCCTCGTTGAGCAGCATTTTTCACTCGTCACAGACGACGAGATCAGAGTGGACGAGTGCATTTTTCGAGCCCTGTGAATTGTCCTGTATTCTAAATGCCCATCCCCCTACTCAGAAAACCAGCAAGTTTGGAAGGAAGCAAAATCAGGAGAGAATCCTTTCTCTCTTTAAAGGTTGCTTTCTGCATGCAGGGGGTTTAATTTTATTTTTCGGCATGGAAGGAATTTCGACATGTGAGACTCCAACTGTGATCTGAAGTAAGACATCCCTGAATCTGTCACATTAGTAAGTAGGAAACCTACGAGCATCCAGCCCCTGAAAGTCAATGGCAGAGTCACAGCTTTAGAAATCCCTGGATCTTCCCATTCAGTCTCTATCCTTGGACCAGATTAAATTAATTTGCCTTCTCTGCCTTCTGCTTCTGGCTGTGTCAGTCCCTTTGAGGAAAGAACCGGACATGTTAAGCCTTGAAAAAAGAAGAACGGGGGTAGACAGGAGAGTACTTTTCAAAAACATGAAAGGCAGTCATACAGAGGAAGGGCAGGATCCGTTCTCGGTCATCCTAGAGCAGGCTCATCAAGCTACAGAAAGCTAGATTTAGTCTGACTATCAGGAAAAGCATCTTAACTGTTAGAGCAGTACGACAATGGATCCAATTACCTCGGAAGGTGGAGAGCAGCGCTGGAGGCATTCAAGAGAAAATTGGACAACCCTCTTGTCAGCTCTGCTTTGATTTGGATTCCCACCTTGAGCAGGAGATAGGGCTCGATGGCCTTATAGGTCCCTTCCAACTGCACTGTTCTACGATTCATCCTTGTGTTCTGCAGTCCACCTTCAGCCATGAGAAAAATGCTAAGCCACAAGGAACTCAAGTGCGCTTTGCTTTCCCTTCCAGCCTTTCTCCACAATATTTGAAATCCTGCAGAGCTATCCATGAAAGATGATCAGTCAGCAAAAGCTAAAGGGTGGGATGAAGGTAATGCAAGATACTTCATGTTCTCTTCACACTGACCATCTTTAGGTACCACAAAAAGACAACATGGCATAGCTTGGTGAAATTTGACTTATTGTGCTGGCTGAATGTGGCACTGCAAACAAACAATGGTTTACACAAACCAGAATTAGAATCTAGGGTTTGTTCTGGGCTTATCAACTCCAACTTTTTGAAATTATGGCTTGATGTGGTGTTTTGACCTTCTCAAGATCATAAGGCAGCTTTAAGAGTCGAGAAATGAGAAACATCCATTGCACTCGACTTTGGTGGGGAAGGAAGAAAAAGCTTTACATTTCTTTTTTAATGGTTGCTAACTGCCACAGTGCATCAGCAATGCTTTGATAGGGCTAAAAAAAAACCCTTCTTTCAAAGCTTTGAAAGAATTTATTTTTAGCCCTATCAAATGTTAGGAGCAAATAAAAAGAAACTGAAAACCTCCTCTGCCATCCGAAGGAGAAGTAAGCAGAAGCTTTTCATTTCTCAAAATCATCAAATCAGCTTCTCCAAAGAGATAGCCAACCAGCCACTTTGGTTCAATCCCAGTGATAACACATGCTGGAATCGAACCAAAACAGAGCTATCTCCACTTAGAAAAGATTTGCCCCTGGCACTGGGAGCCAAAAGGGTATGGGTAGGAAGACTGTGAGGAGGGACCGGTTCATGCTTGCACTTGTCATCTGGAAAAGGGGTGAACATGCCAGTTCCCAGAGTGGACCAAACACCTGCATGTTGCACCCTAAGTCTTCCTCCATAGTCTTAAAGAATAGATGGTCCTTTTTTTTAAAGGAAGCTGAGAGTCTCGGGACAGTGAAATCTTCATTTTATACCTAATTACATGATACACAGGAGAAGTTTCTTTGTTGCTTCCTGATTCTTGCTTAGTAAAATAAGATACACATATACTCATCTCAGACAGCCTAATTCGAAATACAGTGGCAGTGCATTTTCCAGAAGTGTACCATGTCAGTCGGTTCAGCAAAACCAGATCTTAAAAATTAAGAACGTTTTATTTAGCATGTGCGCCACCGGCAATATTTCGGCCAGGTAAGAACATAAGAAGAGCCCTGCTGGATCAGGCCAAGGCCTCCTCTAGTCCAGCTCCCTGTATCTCATAGTGACCCCACCAGATGCCTCTGGGAGCCCATGAGACCACAAGACCCATCTCCTGATCCCTCTCCCCTGCATCTGGCATTTGGAGGTCCCTTCCTTTTAAGCCTGGAGATTATATACATCCCCATCATGGCTTGTCACCTGCGATGGACTTTTCCTCCAGGAATCTGTCCAATCCCCTTTTCAAGGCATCTAGACGCCAGATGCCATCCCCACATCCTGTGGTGAGGAGTTCCACAGACTAACAGCCCGCTGGGTAAAGAAATATTGATTTTTATCTGTTCTCACTCTCCCAACACTCCATTGGAGTGGATGTCCCCCTGGTTCGGGTATTGTGTGAAAGGGAAAAGAGCTTCCCTCTATCCACTTGATCCACCCTCTCCATCATTTTCTCTCTTTCTGCAGAGTGAGGTCCCAATATTTGGGTAAGAGATATAAAAGAGAAAAAAAAATACAGATTCATTGATGATACTGCTGCACATCTCTTAAAATCTTTTCCCCATTTGTCAAATACCCTGTTTTCCCAAAAATAAGACCTAACCTGAAAATAAGCCCTAGTATGATTTTTCAGGATGCTTATAATATAAGCCCTACCCCAAAAATAAGCCCCAGTTAAGTGAAACCCCGCCCTCCACCCTTGTGCAACATTGTGCAGCAACCAGAATAAGACATGACTGTAAAATAAAACAGCCCCTGAAAATAACCCCTAATGCCTTTTTTTGGAGCAAAAATTAATATAAGACCCTGTCTTATTTTTTGAGAAACACAGTAGTTTGCTGTTCCCAGAGCTTCCTCACGTCTTTTTGGACTACAGCCCAACATGTGTCATTTGCATGGGCAATAACATTTCAAGGCTTTTAAGACCATTTTTTTTGGGGTGGGGAGGGGGCATATCTCAACTGAAAGGACCTTCCCACCGCCCCATAAGAGAAAAAGAGAGACATATACACAGAGGCTGGAAGCTAGATTAACAGAAGAGCTATCATTAAAACATGCCTCTTGCTACCCTGTAATGTTCTGTGAGAGAGATCTAGACCAGTAGTTCCTAACCTTGGGTCCCCAGATTTCCTTGGACTACAATGCCCAGAAATCCTGGCCAGCACAGCTAGTGGTGACGGCTTCTGGGAGTTGTAGTCTAAGAACAACTGGGGATTCAAAGTTGGGAACCACTAATCTAGAGTGTGGTTTCCCAATCTGTGTTGTGCTTCTCTTATTCCTTTTCTAATCATCTCCTTTTTCCATCCCTTGGGTTCTTAACAAAACAAAACAAAAAAACAAAATGAAATGACATGTTTAGGCTTCATTGACATCCTTTATATGGCGAACAGAATTTGGATAAGTGAAGAAGAAGAATGATGACGGACTGTGAATGGGGCCATCCTAAAACGGGCTGGAGCACTCGACTGTGCCTTCCTTACCTTCTCATTGGCTGTCTTGTTCAGGTAGTAATCCCGGGAGGGCAAGAAAAGACCTGACTGGTCCACCTGCCAGATGTGAAAGAGAACCAGTGAATCCAGATGCCAGAATGCCCTGCCCAGCCCCTGAGGCTCCCTCTGTTTTTCTACAGTGCAGGGGAAGGGAATAGAATTTCCAAAGCCAATGAAGGAGAACGTTGTCTATTCAGCAAATCACCCTTACAGACTATGCAAGAGAGGGCTGAAGAACACAGGTTGGAAATTTTGTTTTGCTGGACCACAGCTTCCCGAGATATGGACTGTAGTCCGTAAAGCAACTTTCCCAAGCTCTGATACAAATGGAAGTTTTGGCTCCAAAACAAATCATAATTTTCCTCCGTGTCCTAATGTTCACTGTGAGGTAAATCTGTTTCTCAGATACAGAAGTAGATACTTCTGAGATACAATCACTCAAGTAGCAACTGAATTGTCAGGGCTTGAAAAATTTTTTAGAATGTCTCACCAGTCAAAAATTTCACCAGTCAGCATGACCAGGTTATAGCCTTGCAATTTATGTTAACAATTTTAAACTAGGCACTTCTTCGCTTTTATTTCTACGTAACAATGTGTACAAACCCAAAATAAACTGTATTACGTACACAGGAATCACTGATTTATACTCTCAGGCTTGGGTTGCTTTATTACCTGTGTGCCTGTGGGGTCATGAAGCTTATATTTTGAATGCCTTTCTTTTGAATGTCTCCAGCAAAAATAAAACTGAAAGCAAAAGCGCTTGGCCTCTTAGGGAGCCAGGTCTTCAGTTGAAATTGGGAGCAGGGAATCTCCATATTCTCCAGCATGGGACTACTCTACATTCTCCTGGAGAGCTATATCTCTATGTGCCACTCAAACTCTCTTCTCATGAGAAGAGGGCAGTTTTCCTTTTGCAATGGGAGGGGGGAGGGGAGGACCACAGGATCAAAGAGAGACAGCCTCGTTGAGCAGCATTTTTCACTCGTCACAGACGAGTGGACGAGTGCATTTTTCGAGCCCTGTGAATTGTCCTGTATTCTAAATGCCCATCCCCCTACCCAGAAAACCAGCATATTTGGAAGGAAGCAAAATCAGGAGAGAATCCTTTCTCTCTTTAAAGGTTGCTTTCTGCATGCAGGGGGTTTAATTTTATTTTTCGGCATGGAAGGAATTTCGACGTGACAAGAAGTGTTTATTCCTTCGTCATTTCTTGGTCCCACATACCTTCTCTAGTTGTTTGCCTTTTAGAACGAGTACCTACTCAGAACAAGCCCCATTTTCTCATCCCCTCTTCTTACCCTAAACTTTGCAAAATATTGGCTCCTTTATGGGATACAGTGATCTGATGGACCAAATGAATAATGGTAGAACTTAGAAATGTTACCGTTTCTTTCATTCATTCATTCATTCATTCATTCATTCATTCATTCATTCATTCATTCATTCATTCAAGTTGAAGAACCCTGTAACCAGAATGCTATCTGGGGGATTCTGGGAGTTGTAGTCCAAAAGAACAATGATTCTAAGTACTGCATACTGGTAATAAGAATGTCTCCCTTTCTGACCTATGGTTATTTGCTATGAACATGTTCTACTGGATGGGGGCAGCTGAATGGGATTACCTGAATGATGTTGCTGTTAGAGCTTTTGGAATCAGCTCCCACAAACACAGTAAAGAACGGAGAAGCCCGGTACGTTCCTGACACCAGTTTCAAGACCTCCATGAAGTTCGTCTGATTCGAGGAGCCAGTAATGTTCCAGCCACCAATCTATGGGAAGCAAGCATGCAAAGGTGAAATAGGATGACAAAGGGAACTACAATCCTCCCCCAGTCCTTTGTAACCATAAACAAACAATCACACAAGGAATGGTGCGTTGTTCTCCTAGCCACTGGGAATCTGACTCGGCTTTCAGTCCGGCTTCTGATATTTCACTACATTTTGCCCATATAAAAGCTTGGCTAGATGGCCAAATTAGAATGGGACGGATCAGAGTAGCTGGAGATTGGCTAAGGTTGCAAAGAGATGTGCAATTCTTGCCTCCACACGCAAGGATTGCATGGTTTTGGGTCATGAAACCACACTCCTCTTTCGGCGACTCTATTTAGTACGATGAAGAACTTCTTTCCTCTTTAAAGGGAAAGATCTCTAAGCTGGCCGGCTGTCCTTTTGGAGAAAGCTGCTTCATAATCAAGAAATGGAAAGCTTTCACTCAGCCCTCCTTTAGAGAGCAGGGGAAATTTTGCACGGAAAACCTCGTCTCTCTTCCTCTCAAAAAGAAAAAGAAAAAAAGAACAGAACAGATGCTACCCACTTCTCAAGATCATAAGGCAGCTTTAAGAGTCGAGAAATGAGAAACATCCATTGCACTCGACTTTGGTGGGGAAGGAAGAAAAAGCTTTACATTTCTTTTTTAATGGTTGCTAACTGCCACAGTGCATCAGCAATGCTTTGATAGGGCTAAAAAAAACCCCTTCTTTCAAAGCTTTGAAAGAATTTTTTTTAGCCCTATCAAATGTTAGGAGCAAATAAAAAGAAACTGAAAACCTCCTCTGCCATCCGAAGGAGAAGTAAGCAGAAGCTTTTCATTTCTCAAAATCATCAAATCAGCTTCTCCAAAGAGATAGCCAACCAGCCACTTTGGTTCAATCCCAGTGATAACACATGCTGGAATCGAACCAAAACCTGCATGTTGCACCCTAAGTCTTCCTCCATAGTCTTAAAGAATAGATGGGCCTTTTTTTAAAAGGAAGCTGAGAGTCTCGGGACAGTGAAATCTTCATTTTATACCTAATTCCATGATATATTATACACAGGAGAAGTTTCTTTGTTGCTTCCTGATTCTTGCTTAGTAAAATAAGATACACATATACTCATCTCAGACAGCCTAATTCGAAATACAGTGGCAGTGCATTTTCCAGAGGTGTACCATATCAGTCAGTTCAGCAAAACCAGATCTTAAAAATTAAGAACGTTTTATTTAGCATGTGCGCCACCGGCAATATTTCGGCCAGGTAAGAACATAAGAAGAGCCCTGCTGGATCATGCCAAGGGCCCCACTAGTCCAGCTCCCTGTATCTCATAGTGACCCCACCAGATGCCTCTGGGAGCCCATGAGACCACAAGAACCGTTTCCTGATCCCCCTCCCCTGCATCTGGCATTTGGAGGTCCCTTCCTTTTAAGCCTGGAGATTATATACATCCCCATCATGGCTTGTCACCTGCGATGGACTTTTCCTCCAGGAATCTGTCCAATCCCCTTTTCAAGGCATCTAGACGCCAGATGCCATCCCCACATCCTGTGGTGAGGAGTTCCACAGACTAACAGCACGCTGGGTCAAGAAATATTTTCTTTGGTCTGTTCTTACTCTCTCATCACTCCATTTGAGTGGATGTCCCCACGTTATAGCTGTTTGTGACCATCTGAAACTGAATGCTCATGATGGTGTTCTTTATGAGGAACGCCATTTTAGGGCCCTGTTCTTTTTTTTTTCTTTTTTTTTAAAGATGACTCAATTTCACCGCCAGGCTCACCTTCTCTATGAGATCCATCAGCGGCTGGGATCCCAGCTCCTCAATCTTCTGTTCTTTCAGACACGACAGATAATAACGTTGGGTCTTTCTTTCAGCTTCACTGCTGGAGTTGAAAGTGGCATTTTCTGGAAAGGAAAGTAGGGCATGGCCTCTGAGCAAGCAGTAAGGGGTCAGGCAGCACCACAGGCCCACCGTGGCAGCTGTGATCTCCCAGATTCCAAACCACTCTTCAGCAGTGTGCTTGGAAGGCTACTTTTTAAAACCAGTTTGCATTTGTTACTTGTTGCAGGATTTGAAAAGTAACCTACTACAGTGGTGCCTCACTTAACGATTGCCAGCCTTACGATGAATCCGCTTCACGACGATCTTTTTGTGATCGCAAAACAATGGTCTAAATGGGGGAATTTTGCTTAGCGATGATCCATTCCCTGCTTCAGGAACCGATTTTTGCTTTACGAGATCAAAAACAGCTGATCGTCAGGTTTTCAAAACGGCCGCCGGGTGCTTAAAATGGCTCCCCGCTGTGCTTAGGGATGGATTCCTCGCTATACAGGTAGCTAAAATGGTCGACGTATGGAGGATCTTCGCTGGACGGTGAGTTTTTACCCCACTGGAACGCATTGAACGGGTTTCAATGCGTTTCAATGGGATTTTTAATTTCACTTTAAAATGTTTTCGCTTAACGACGATTTTCCTGGAATGGATTATCGTCGTTAAGCGAGGCACCACTGTATTTTTAATTCATTACAGTGCCAAAGAAATAACTCCCTTATTTGCTTGCTACTTTTCTGTTATTTTCTGTTCCTTAGGACTGTTATTAACTCATCCCAGTTTTAAAGAAACATCTCCATATTTTGCCTGCTACTTTTCTGTTCCTTAGAACTGACAACAGAATGGCATGAAATGTGAACACTTTATGTCACACTGCTTTTAAAAATGCACCTGAAGAGAAACTAGAAATGTTTCATCCGTAAAGTAACTTTAATCTTGCCATTATGTAACTTTATTATACTCTTGGTATGTAAAAGACTAGCCAGGTAGTATTATTTGTAACTCTCTAGCCAAAATCCTGTTGCTGAGTTATTCCTGCAGAAGACAAACCAAGTAATTTCCAGTGGCTTCTCTCTGGCAACTAGTAAAGTCCCACTTGGATTAAGCAACAGGATTTGGGTGTTTACTTCCAACCCTGCTCTCAGAAATTGGTTTCCTTCCAATTAAAAGGAGGCTGAGACCAACCGGGTGAAGGCTGAGCTAAATAAAAGCACAGCCTGCTGCTTACAAACCGCTCCATCATGTTTCAAGCACTCCCTGGGTGGTTTACAATTTAATGGTGCAGTATATAAATGTGAGAAGGAGTGTTGTAGCATGGCTGGCTGAATTGGACTCTTTCAGCTCATTTTAGCATGTGCAAACTCCTAATTGCTCTCTGTCCAAGCGTACACGTGTGTTTTCGAACCCGTGTTCGTCACGTTCGAAAAAATGTGAGCTGATAAATAGGGACCACCAGGGTACCAGCTCCTGCCAACCTAGCCGTTCGAAAAAATGTAAGCTGATAAATAGGGACCACCAGGGTGGGAAGGTCATGGCGTTCTGTCTAGTTGCGCTGGCCACGTGACCACAGAAGCTGTCTACGGACAAACGCTGGCTCTATGGGTTGGAGACAGGGATGAGCACCACGCCCTACAGTCGGACACGATTGGACTAAATGTCAAGGGGAACCTTTACCTTTACTATATACAGATTGCCCTCACCCCCAACTAGCTGGAGATTCAGTTTACTGACCTTGGAAGGATGGAGAGCTCAGTCAAATTCAAGCCGGCTACCTGGGATTGAACCCTGGGTCATGAGCAGAGGTTTGGCTGCAGTACTGCAGTTTAACCACTGCACCAGGAGCTTGGAAGCATCTTGAATGGGGGATGCTGGGAACTATTATCCAACAATAAGACACACAAGCTCTGGGTAAGTAAAGAAGAGGAATCTCTCAAATCTACCTGTGCGAAGTAACATCTCACCTAGCAGGTGTTTCATGATAGCCTGATTCTGGTCCCAGATGCTGTTGAAGGTGCTCCACTTGGAACGGCCGTCGGGCAGAGGGTTGCGCTTGATCCACCCTCCGCAGGCGTACTGGTAAAAATCATCACAGGGGTTGGTCTCTCGGTCCAGAGCCTCCAGGACTTTGCCGGCCACAATGACACATGCTTCCGTCAGGCAAGTGGTGTGCGAGGGATCTGGAAGGGATACAGACACGTGCCGTGGTGTCTCACAGAAGCCCAAAGATGGAGCGACTTTGATATTTCTTGCTCCACAGGACATGATGAGAAGCAGCAGATAAGGGATCTCAGAGGAACAGATTTGGGCTGAATTTTAACAGAACTCTCTCTGGAAGTAAAAAAAAAACCCTCTTTGGCCTCTTTGTAAGAGGCTACCTTGAGAGGGGGTGAGATGTCTTCACTGGAGGCATTTCAGGAGACGCTGTAGCCGCATCCTGCATAGCAGACCACACACTGGACCAGAAATGGAATTAGATCAGGGGCGAGCCACATGAGGCCTGAAAGATAGCAGGATGTGGCTCCCTAGAAGCCCAGATGTGGTCTCCAACCATCCTGGGACACCCCCTCCACAAGTATCCCACGTCCTATTCTTTTTATTTGTTCAAATATATTTTTTTAACTCAAAATGTACCCTCTAAGGGGGGGTGGGTGGATTCTGCCACATTTTGAAGGCCACTCGGGACCCTGCCCTTCAAAACTACTTAAAAGGGGTTAAAACTTATTTAAAAGTTTTTAATGGCATTTGGGAGGGTGTAAAGGGATTTTCCCACTTTTAAAAACCTGTATTTTAAAAAGAAAATATTCGAGGGGGGGGGAGCTGCAGGAACATGTATAACTCCTTAATCTCCAGGAATCAGGCTGGGCAGCCCCCAGACCTCTGGCCACACCTTAGCCTTAGAGCAGGGGGTTCCCAACCTCGGGTCCTCAGGTGTTCTTGGACTGCAACTCTCAGAAATCCTGACCGGCAGAGCTTGTGGTGGAGGCTTCTGGGAGTTTCACTCCAGGCACACCTGAGGAGCCGAGGTTCGGAAGCACTGCCCGAGATTAGATCATCTTCAGTGTCCTATTTAAAGCGATGACTCGGCGGGCTTCAGGTGACTAAGACACACATGGAGAGGTGACCATGCTTGGTAGCTCAGAAGTACTTTTGGGGTGCATGTGTTTTTCTGGGGAGAAGCTTGTTCCTTTAATAACTTCTCTGCTTTAGTCACTTAAGATAAGCTTCCCAGGCTAACACACCGAGGAGCTGAGAAGGAGAAAGATGGAGGGGTTTGGGTAGCCTAACAGTTTGAAATGTGGTGCTGGAGGAGACTCTTGAGAGTCCCCTGGATTGCAAGGAGAACAAACCTATCCGTTCTGAAGGAAATCAACCCTGAGTGCTCACTGGAAGGACAGATCCTGAAGCTGAGGCTCCAATACTTTGGCCATCTCATGAGAAGAGAAGACTCCCTGGAAAAGACCCTGATGTTGGGAAAGTGTGAAGGCAAGAGGAGAAGAGGACATCAGAGGATGAGATGGTTGGACAGGTTCACCAAAGCGACCAACATGAATTTGACTCAATTCTGGGAGGCAGTGGAAGACAGGAGGGCCTGGCATGCTCTGGTCCATGGGGTCACGAAGAGTCAGACACGACTTAATGACTAAACAACAACAATAACAAAACAGCCAGGCAGCCTGTTACTTTGGTTGAGCATATGCAACAAGAGCAACCGTCTGCCTCCACTTCCTCTCTTTCTGTGATTCTACGATTTCTCTTGGGAAGAATGTTAGACTGTAAGCTCCTCAGGGCAGGGTGGGTACTTGGGATTATTTACAAGACAAAAGTGATTTCACACACTGAGTTCCTCCACAAACAGGTCAACATTGGAGAGGACCCTCCGACGTGGAAGGTTTTAAAATATCTCTGATTTGCAGAATCCGTCTGGCAGTGCGCTCTCTGCCTGGTCACGCCCTAATCCTGTCCCTTCCCTTCACAGCCAGAGTAACCGCCTCCACCAGACCCAGGAAGTTTGATCCTTCCAGAGCGAACAGAGGCCGAGGGTGGCAGAGACTCTGGCCTGGGGATCGGAGGCCCAGCTGCCACGTTCACCTACCTCTACTGTACTGGATGCCCATGATAATGACCGAACTGAGAAGCAGCAGAGCCATGAAGAGAGAGAGGGCGCACAGCATCAGCTTCATCTGGGTGCTGGCACTGAGGCGGCTCAGCAGAGGGCCGTCATTTTTCCTGAAGCCCACCTGGAAGGCAAAAAACAGAGGCAGGAAATTATAAATAAAGAAAGGCATCCAAAGATAGGATGATATATTAAATGATGGAAAAGACTTGACTCTTCTGATGTGTGGCGGTAGGACCCTTGTATCTGCGTGGGATCAGTTCCAACCCCCACCAATGTGGATGCTGAAAAACACGCATAACAGTGAACCATAGTTTAATAGCTACACATAGCATGGTCTCTTGTTCCATCTAGTGGTCAGTTCTCGTAACTTCACCTTTAGAAATAGGTATTTCCAGGATTTCTCTTTTAATATTTTCAGACACGACAGACTGTGGATAAATGAATCAGTGGATATGGATCCTGTGGATACAGGAGTCCTACCGTGAATTTTTTAAAGCCTACTCTTCAGTCAAAAGAGACTCTTAGGGTAGCTTACCCTAAAGAGCAGGAACATTGCTCATTTTTACAGATATATATATATATATACTTTAAAAGACATGGTCCTTGTGGAAAGAAAGGAGTAAAAACCAGAGAAAGGAAGCTCAGGCATTGGTTTTTGAAGCTTCAAGATCTGTAATGGGCAAGAGCTGCTTACTCGCCTTCATGTCTTACTTGGCCCTGGCCAAGGAGCAGCGCTACGTCAGATCTGACAGCTTCCCTCGCCCTACTGGCATGCATGTCAGGCACAATGGTGGCCTCTCCCAGATTCCTCGTACCTTTCCCGAAAGGGTGAAAGGCTCAGCGGTAATGCCAAGGTTTTGCATACAAAAACTCTCAGGTCCTTGCACCATAGGGCAACATTTGAGTCTGCAATCTGCCAGTCTTCACAATAGATCAGGGCTAAGTGACAGGTTGCCTCAGAGGGCCACATACAGCAACCTAGCACCTGGAGGGAGGCACTGCCCCAGCCTGTTTTTTTTAAAAAAATAATTTTTAATGCTCAGAAAATATTTTGTGCCCTCTAGGAGTCATGGGAGCATCCCCCCAAAAAATATTTGGCAATGCTGTGCCCCAATTTACCATCTTTTCCATGTACTGTATAAGACTATACTTCTGCCTAAAAAAGCTCAGAAAATATTTTGTGCCCTCTAGGAGGCATGGGAGCATCCCCCCCCAAAAAATTTGGCAATGCTGTGCCCCAATCTTTTCCATGTATAAGACTATACTTCTGTCTAAAAAATTCTGACTAAAAATTGAGGGTCATCTTATACATGGAAGTAAGCTGAGGAGAGAACAAAAACAAGTGGAAGGGAAAGCAGGGATCAAATTGTTCCTGCAGGACTCTGATCCCTGCTTTTCCCTCCACTCGCTAATCCTTGGCAAAAGGAAAGCAGGGATCAAAGCGCTGCAGGATCACTTTGATCCCTGCTTTCCCCTCAGGTGGCATCGCTTATTAAGAAACTCCTAACACATAGACATACTTGAAATCCAAAATAATTGCCACCCATCAGAGCAGGCAATTGTGTGTTTAGAATAGTTTCCCCCAATCTGCTGCCCTCCAGGTGTGTGGTACTCTGCCCCCCATCATCCCCACCCAACACTTGGCATTGTTCATTGGGGATAATGAGATATGTTGTTTAATTCATCTCATAGAGGGCATTTGGGTGGAGAAGTCTGGCTTTCCAGGTCTTAGAAGAAGCAAGAGAGTCCTAAGTCCGTATGGGGCTTCCTGCTATATCAGAATTTCTCCTTCTCTTCTCGTATGTAAGTTGTTCTCCATTTTCTCTCTTTTTGGCATGAAGCTCTCTTCCTGGTGTTCTGCTGATTTTCAGCTGACATAGCCAGCTGCCCAGGGAATGGGGGAGAAATTTTCTAAACAGCTTTGCCCGCCCTTGAACGGGAGCACTCCGCCCCTTGCAAAAGAGATGATTTTGCTGCAGCCTTCAGGTTTAGTCCTAGGAAGTGAGGGGGGGGGAGCCCAGGGTTTAGCTTGTGTGATAGGATTCACGCGTGCTTTCCCCACCACTTTGCTTTTTGCAGTTGTGTTACTTTGCATGAATAATAGATCAGATAGTTTTAATGCTTCCTGGGCTGTAAAACTGCAGGCAGGGGGAATCCCCCGTAAAAGATAGCGTTCAAGGTGGCTTGCAAACCTTTTAAAAGAGTGAAAACAGAAAATCACATTTTGCGTTAAAAAATTTTTTTTGTAAACTGGCGCCACCACAAAACCATTAAAATCAAGCAAAGACATTAAAACCGTTAAACTCAGCAAGCACACATATTAAAAACAACACAGCGAGGCAAATTATGTATCATGCACCACTCTAGAAAGATGTGTTTTTACTCCTTGCTTAAAATCACCCAGAGTGGAAACAGTGACAGGGAAGGGTTTAGGAGACACTCAGAAGAAGACATTCTCACTCATGCTTGCTAGGGGAGCCTACAAAACTGTGGGTATTTTAAAGAAATGCCAACATTGGGACAGAGTCAGAACAAGAAAAACAGTCCCTTTGATAGCCAGGTCATTGAACACTATAAAGGGTAAAACAGACACCTTCAATGGGGCCCAGTAAGCAACTGGCAACCGGCGCAAGTCTTTCAGCAACACAGTGATATTGATCACAATATCATGCACCCGCTAGCAACCTAACGACTGCATGTTGCACTTCAAGGGCAGGCCTATATAGAGTGCATTGGAGTAGTCAAGACAGGATGTAACTAAAGCTGCTGTGTCAAGTTGACTCAGGAAAGCTCATGGTTGCCACACTAGGTATTTTGTTTGTTCATTCGCTCGCATGTTCATTCGCACACTCGTTCATTCGCTACTCGTTCATTCGCTCACTCATTCATTCATTTTAAATGTTTTTATCCCTCTGCCACCTGGAAGTTCAGCAACAGTGCAGAGTCAAGCAGAGTCCCCAGACTACAAATCTGACTTGCCCGGTTCCTGGATATGACTTTCTACGGACCAGCAGCACTTCCGTCTTGTCAGGATTTCGTTTTGGCTTGTTCGCCCTCATCCAGCCCATTACTGAGCGAAGGCAGCATTCAAGAGTCCTGACTGCTTCGTCAGTATGGAGGGGCAAAGAGCCGGAGAGATGGGGGGGGCATCGGCATATTAGTGACACCTCCTTCTAGAGCTCCAAATGGTGTCTCTCTGAGTATATAAAGTGGAGTTCTGAGGAATACCACAGGCCAAAGGCCGTGGTGTCAAACAGCACCCCCCCCACACACACACCCATTTGCGTTCATCCTGACAGGAAGGATCAATTCCTCTGTCATGTCATGTCCCCAAGAACTCAATCTTTTGGGTGTTTTTTTTTTAGTCGTTAAGTCATGTCCAACTCATGATGGCCCCATGGACCAAAGCATGCCAGGCCCTCCTGTCTTCCACTGCCTCCCGGAGTCGGGTCAAAGTCATGTTGGTCGCTTTGGTGACCCTGTCCAGCCATCTCATCCTCTGTTGTCCCCTTCTCCTCTTGCCCTCACACTTTTCCCAACATCCGGGTCTTTTCCAGGGAGTCTTATCTTCTCATGAGATGGCCAAACTATGGGAGCCTCAGCTTCAGGATCTGTCCTTCCAATGAGCACTCAGGGCTGATTTCCTTAAGAACGGATAGGTTTGCTCTCCTTGCAGTCCAGGGGACTCTCAAGAGTCTCCTCCAGCACCACAATCCAAAAGCATCAATTCTTCAGCAGTCAGCCTTCTGTATGGTCCAGCTCTCACTTCCATACATCGTTACTGGAAAAAACCATAGCTTTGACTATATGGACCTTTGTCAACAAGGCGATGTCTCTGCTTTTTAAGACGCTGTCGAGGTTTGTCATTGCTAACTCAATCTAGCACGGCTATCAAACAGGATATGATGGTCAATGATATCAAATGACACTGAGAATGGATAAGGTGATGCTCCTCTTATCCAGCCCCCAGTGTTAGTCATCTACCAAGGCAACCAAACTAATCTCAGTTCCATTTCCCCGCTAAAAGCCTAGATGAAATGGGTCCAGAAAGCCAGTATTATCCAGAAGGGACCACGTTTGCAGAGCCACAACTTTCTGAAACAGCCAAAACTGGGAAAAGTGAGACTGATCTATGGTTAGCCAAAACCTCTGGGTCACGGGAAGGTTTCTTTAAGAAAGGTTTTATGACAGCTTCTTTTAGGCACGATGGGGAAGACCTTTCCTTAAAGGAAGCACCGACCCCCACCCACCCGCCCCTTAGCTTTGGGATCAGTCCTANTGGCAGATTGGATTTCTCAAGACGTGATCGAGTGAACAGAGAGCGGCTTTCACCGCTCTAAGCACGAGGTCCCCCAATCCCTCAGATCCATCCAAGCTAAAAGGATCAGCGGATTGGATTTCTTAAGACGTGATCGAGTGAGCAGAGAGTGGTTTTCGCCGCTCCAAGCACTAGGTCCCCCCATCTCTCAGATCCATCCAAGCTGAAAAGAGCTAAAAGGATCAGCGACTGCCCAAGTGACATCATCGTGACCTCCTCCGAGATCAGAGTCCCAGTCAAGGTGAATCTGACGAAGTTTGCCGGCGAAACACATCGCAAACGGTTCGCGCTGAGCGAACAGCTGACTGGGGCTGTGTGAGGGTTCAGCTTTCGGCTCCGGATTCGACTCAAAGAAATCGGTCGATTTTTGTCGCTTCAAAACAGTGGAAAGGTTTATTGGTGCATTCAACCATCAAGAAGTATCCATAACATGACTTTGAGGCTTTTTTCCTTCGGCCATCGGGTCTCGAAGGGGCTTTCCAACCTTCGAACCGGAACAGATTTCCAGAACTCGTGTTCCATGGTTCCCACAAATCCGAAGAGACCCCAGTCTCTTAAGATCTGCCCTGTCGAACCTTCCAACGGGGCCACGGCCTCGACATCCTGGTCGTCATTCCACAGGGTTCGTCTCTCGGGGTCCCGATTCTCCCAGGGTCCCCCCTGTAACGCTTCCTCCTCATCTCCCTTATTCTCCATTCTTGTCTTTCTTTCCTTTCTCTCTCCACTCTCTCTTTTCTCCTCTCTCAGTCTCCTCCTCCTCCACTCTCTTGCCTCGGCTTCTCCCCAACAAGAGGGTCTGGGAGGGATCTCTCTTCTCCTTCTATAATATTAGCCTCTCCTATGATCCTGTCCAGAGATCCTCCATCCACACCCACTCCCAGCCTTCCTGCCCTTTCTTTCTCTTTGTAGGTTCTGGTGTTGGCTGGGGTCTCGCCTCCTTATCCTTATGGTGGAGGAGGGGGGCTCTCCAGCAAGTGGGGTACCCCTCTCCCCTTCCGTCTCACAGGCTGCTCATAGGGATCACAGAACCCCCTCCCCCCCCGTTACAACAGCACCACTGGCTGCTGAGCCATTTCCAGGCGCAACTTAAAAGTGCTAATTTTAACCTATAAAGCCTTAAACAGCTTGGGTCCAAGCTATGTCAAGGACTGTGAGCCTGTTTAGGGTTCATCGGGAAAGGCCTTCTTCTCAGTCCCACCACCTTCACAGGTGTATTTGGTGGGGGACACAGGAGAGGGCCTTCTCTGTGGCTGCTCCCAGACTTTGGAACTCCCTCCCACTGGAGGCCAGGCTGGCCCCATCTTCGCTGTCCTTCCACAAGCAGGGAAAGACGTTCTCTTTCCCTTACGGACTAGCTGGCCGAGAGGGATTTTAAAATGGATTGTTATGCCTTAATGTGCTGAATGTGTTTTTAGTATTGCTTTGATTTACCATTTCTCAGATCCCGTGCAAGTGGGATCTGAAGGCCTTAGGAATGGACCTGAAAAGATGGGAAACCTTGACCTCTGAGCATTCAGCTTGGAGGCAGGCGGTACAGCATGGCCTCTCCCAATTTGAAGGGGCCCTTGTTCAGCAGGCCGAGGCAAAGAGGCCGTCCTGAAACTAGCCAAATCACGGAGCTAGGCAGGGGACAGATTGTATTTGTCTTCAGGGTGGAAGGGATGGTCACTCTCGAATTGGCCTTCTCAGCCACATTAGACGCTGTTCCAAGTCCTCCATACAGAGCACGTCACCATAGTCTCTCGAGACTGAAGGATGCCTAACCTAATCTAGCATTTCTCAGAGTAGTATTTGTTTCTTTTTAATATCTGTAGACTTATTGTTTTAGCTTCAAATATTTTCTTTTAATAATGTACGCCGCCTTCATATACACATTGCTTTTAGCTTTAAAAATGGCCTTTTAATGATGTAAGCCACCTTGCGTCCTTTTTTAAGGCGAACGGTGGGGTAAAAATATTTTAAAATACCGTAAATAAAAATAAATAAATATGTGTGCACACAATAGTAACAGAAACATGGGCTTCCATAGCCACCTTTGCTCCCCGCAGCAGACCTTCTCAGATGGACTGCGGCAAGCTTAGAACCTGATTTATCCCCGATTGTCCTCCAGTGGCACTCTGGCCTTTGCTCCTTCTGTTTCACCAACCTCAGCTACCTGTTAAACCAGGGAGGTGCAGCTGGTTTTCTCGCTAAACTCTGGGACGCTCCAAAATGGAGCACATTGGAAATAACGATCCTCTGTTGACTGCCTATAGCATCTCATAATTACAGATGTACTTCCTTGGATTATGGCGCTCCAGCTCTCATGGTGGAGTAGACATCAACACAATTGTCCTCCGTGCATGGTCGTATCTTTGGGGGGAGCAGCTTAACGACTTAGTTTGAACTAAATTGTGGCCGGATGCAACAGTGCACTTGGGTAGCCCATATCGATGGCACTGGCGTATTCTTGTTCTCTCCTCTTACCACAGCCCTCTGTGATACCAAAAACGGGCTCCCAGATATTTTGCAGCGGATCACTAGAGTGCACACAGGAGCAGGAGCAGAATGGGGGCCAAAACATGGGCATCCGGCAGAAATACAGCATTTTACGTTCCCCATCTCTAATTTGAAAGAAAAATTAGCCTTGGCACATTTTCAGCTCATCGCACCACAAAGGATGCCTCAATAAAGATCTCTGTTTAGTCTGTTAATATTCAAAGAATTGTTTTCTGGGGGACCTTACCTTTTAAAAAAAAGTTTGTTATCATATGTTATTTTTAAAAGAGTAAAATGAACTGAAAAATGGAGTTTAAGCTCCTCATTCGATTCCTAATTAATCCACTCATAAGCACATAGTATCAAAAACAAAAAAAAAATCTCTGTGGCTTGGGATATTTAAATTTAGCCCATGAAACAAATCCTCCTGGCTTCCCCGAAAGACTAAAGGCATAATCATAAACTAAAGGTACTACTGGGGACCGTGGACGGCAACGGAAGATTTCTGGCAAAGCCGTTTTCTGCATCTGTTACGCAAGAGCCTAGAATACGATCCTCCATTCTTGACGGAATCCGACGTTCTGATCATCTTTCTCTCTCTCTTCTCCTTTCTCCATTCAGGCTCTGCCAGTAGATTCTGTACGGTAATTATTCCGGCAGCGGAGACAAGCCTGCTATTATTAATTTAATATAATGATCATGTTGCCAAGCAGCAGGAGGAACAATTCCTCTGGGAGGACTCCGGCAGCCTCCTAAGCACCGTTTTCCTTTCTAATTGCTCATGCTCGGCATGCGCTCCTCAAAGGGCCAGTGTCTTACCTCCACGCCATCAGGAGAGGCGCTCCCATCTCCAGCCATGTCCGGCGCTTCTTCGTCCTGGAACATGGCACGCTTATACTCGGCCATCTAAAACAGGAGAGCACACAAGAGAAAATACTACAAATAAGAGACTGGACAAGCCCCTGCTACTTTAAAATCACATTAATAACCAAGCCTTTCCCCAAAAGAATCCTGGGAACTGTAGTTTAATCGGAGACAGAGGTTCTCTGCTGTAAAACAATCTCAAAATGCATAAAACTGATTCTATTTCAGATGCAGTTGCTTCCATGCAACAAGTTTAAGTCTCCTTCCCTCCTAAACTCTAACCTGTTTTTTCATGCTGAGCAAATTACTTTTTGCATATGAGACTGCACCCAGGTTTCCCTGGATGCTACTGATTGTGCTCTTGACCCTTCGGTAACTGTCAGTGATAAATCTCCTGCTGTGCTTGGCTACTCCCTGTATTGAGACTTTTGACCCATTCATGGACATGCAAAGATTCACAGATCTAGCTTGTTGGGGTTGGTTTGGCAGAGACTGGTGTGAAATTGAGTGTGGCTCTTAATAATAATGCACTTTCCTTTTGATTATGCAGCAGATAAAAATTGTTCTGGCAGGAACCTACAGTGCAGAGTGAATTGCAGTCTCCCTTAGCAGAACACCCCTTCTTTGTTAGTTTACCTCAACTGGCACTTATTTGTTTCAATACATTCATTCAGAGAGTCTGGCAAATGAGAAAGAATAAAATATTTCTGTTTACTTACAGTTCTTCTTATATAAAACCAAACATTATATTTTGTCGAAATGTTTAAGTTGTTACATGACTGAAATTAACTGCTTCATTTACTGCATTATTAACTAACTGACTGCTTACACTGCTGATCGAACACATTACTTTAGATGTTCACTTCTGGCTTCCTAAATCAAACTGACAGACCACTAAATGAACCCTGACTGACTGTAAAAAGGTGTGGGAAATAGCTCTAAGGTAGAGAGGGAAACAGGTAGGCGGTTGTTGAGTTGACTGACAACAAGCCTAGTCCAGAAAGGTTCCTCCCAACAACAACTGACTGACTGTAAAAAGGTGTGGGAAATAGCTCTAAGGTAGAGAGGGAAACAGGTAGGCGGTTGTTGAGTTGACTGACAACAAGCCTAGTCTAGAAAGGATCCTCCCAACAACAACAACAACAAAAAATTCTTAAAGGCATCATATGAGTAGATCTTTGGTCTAGATGGGCGGAGCAGAAATCCAATAAAATAAATAAATAAAATAAAAAAATTATGAAAGTGCAATATATCTGACAATAAGACTCCGAAAGCATGCAAATGCAAGTACTGTAGATAAATAGGGACCACCTCAGTGGGAAGGTAACAGCGTTCCGTGTCTAAATCTTCGGACAAAACGCTGGCTCTATGTCTTGGAAACGGGGATGAGCACTGCCCCCTAGAGTTGAACATGACTGGACAAATATTGTCAAGGGGAACCTTTACCCTTTACCTTTACCTTTAACAACAACAACAACAACAACAACAACAACAACAACAACAACAACAACAAACTCTTAAAGGCATCATATGAGTAGATCTTTGGTCTAGATGGGCGGAGCAGAAATCCAATAAAATAAATAAATAAAATAAAAAAATTATGAAAGTGCAATATATCTGACAATAAGACTCTACACATTTAAGAAATAATGGAAGAAAATGGACGTGTGGAGTTTGGAGGAAAGGATTTTTGGGAAGGTGTCTACAGTAAAAACAGCACATTGTCACATTTTCATCTTGCATGGCTTTTGTGTAACTCCTCGTTCACAAAGGACAGCCCTCGATCTCAAGGCCTGCAAAACCACAGTTCTCTTTTTGAAGCGCTCCTCTGTTTCTGGACGGCTGTCCATTTTATCTCTCCTTTAAAGATAAACAACCTCAAGGAGGCCAGTCAGGAACCTTGAAACTGCCCCACCAAGTAGCCTCTGAACACCAACTCCATAAGTGCACTAATCCCCCAGCCACTATCTTCGCTTCTCAAGCAAGACACATTGCCATTAAATTATAAACAACATTTCTAGTTTCGCATCTACACAGAGATTAGATCAGTTTTTAATTAAAAATGTTCAGAAAAGCATATTCAGTATCAGTAGACAGAAAAAACACACCTCCTTTTCAAAAGAAATGATCACAAACCAACCATTTTTAATGCACGCTTTCTCACATGGCTTTCTTGGAATAAACCGATGCTATACTGGACATTTCTGTTTGAATCGATCACATTTGATTTTCATGGCTTCTCTTCCCCACATACAGATTTGACAACTTATGGGTTTGTTTCAGGAGAGGTGGTGATGCATTTAATAATAATTAGATTTGCAAAAATAAACCAACGGCTATGTTGAGCTGCTCCCTGCAAAACAGAGAACAAGCTGCTGCTACATTGGCTCTTTCTTTTTGAATAAATCATATTTGAATTATCTTTATGATCTTGTTGAGTTGTGTTATTCAAGTTGCTGCAAAAAAAGGTTCAAGAGCAAAGCAAGCCATTGTCTCCCGAACCCTGGAAAACAGAATTCGCTCCCACGGTATTCAAGGCATGTGGCATTTCGCTGGAGCTTCCCAGAATTTCTTGCTACCCGGTTGCAAAGAGGGACTAATTTCTCGTCTCTGCAACTCACAATCCCTCCCATGGAGGGAAAGGCCTCATTAAGCGGGAGCTTCATATTGTTTATCCAGCTACAAATTAGCGCTCTGCAAGGTCCATCACACCTCCTCCCTGGCCATTGCACAGCAACAGGTACAATTCCCCCCCCCCAGCTTGGCAAAAGGGAGGCCCTGTCCTCAGAGCGATGTGGTCTTTCATCCCTTTGCATGTTGCCATGACTGTCTCGCTCGCTGTTTAGTCATCGGTATTCCTGACAAGTGTTACATTTCCTTTCCGGAGGCTTGTCCTCAGCTCCTTGGCAACATGCACATCCATCCCTTAGCAACACTGCCACACCAGCTCTGCCAGTCCCTGTGGCTTTCCACTTTCACCCCGTCGCCCAACCCGCAACGCCCGACACAAGAAGCACGGCCGAAGGTGGAGGCCAGTCAGCTTCAAAGAAGCAAGAGCGCAGAACGCAAAGAAACCGCTTGGCGTGGGAGAATAGGGCAGGCAGAACTGGAAGACTGAAATCAAGATGGATTGTCCATGAGGAGTGATGAGAGACTGAGAGAGAGAGAGAGCAAGAGCACAAGCAGAGAGAGAGAGAGAGAGAGAGCAAGAGCACAAGTTTGACAACAATGTAGAGGCCATTTTGAATGGTTTGCTTGTACCACATGACCACACCAAGCCAACAGAAAGCATATGGAGAAAATCGCTCCGTTCACATATACCTGAGCACCATCATATGGAGGCAAAGACTGAAATCTTGCTCCTTGGTATAATAAGCCACACCTAGAGTTTTTTGTTGTTTAGTCGACTGAAATCTTGCTCCTTGGTATAATAAGTCACACCTAGAGTTTTTTGTTGTTTAGTTGTTAAATTGTGTCCAACTCTTTGTGACTCCGTGGACCAGAGCACGCCAGGCCCTCCTGTCTTCCACTGCCTCCCGGAGTTTGGTCAGATTCATGTTGGTCGCTTCGGTGATACTGTCCAACCATCTCGTCTTCAGTCGTCCCCTTCTCCTCTTGCCTTCACACTTTCCCAACATCAGGGGCTTTTCCAGGGAGTCTTGCCATCTTCTGTTTGACCACATCCAGCTTACCAAAGTTCATAGATCTTACATTCCAGGTTCCTATGCAGTATTTACCTAGAGTAGACACACTAGATCAGTATGGATTTGGTAAGGCAGCTCTTCCATAACTGCCACTGATTGAATGGGCTACCCTAATTCTGCCTTGCTACACTAAGCCACGAAATTTCATCCACAAATTAGGCAGGTGCAAGGTTTTGCCTCTGATTCATATTAATCGCATTGGTACTAATTATTTCTAGCCTATCTTCTTTCTAGTTCATATTCCTGACTTTAGCCAATTTATTGCAAAATTGCCAAAAAACTATATGCTATGGAGCCAAGTTCAAATAAATACATATCTCCCAATTTCTCCAAAACTATATGCTATGGAGCCAAGTTCAAACTGAAGAAATAAATACATATCTCCCAATTTCTCTTCACAGGGAGAGGAGAAGACTCAGATATTTGTCTTATTCACAAAAAATCCACAGAAGCCTGAAATCCAAGAGGAGAAGACTCAGATATTTGTCTTATTCACAAGTGCCCCAATCCACAGAAGCCCACACTGAAATCCATCCATCTTTAAAGCAATACTACGGTTGTGTTTGTTTTGGTTACATGTACTGTATCAGTGGATTTTATCCAATGCTCGTTTCCTATTCTGTTTTAATTTATTTAACATGCATCTCAACTTCTAGAACTACTAAGAGACACCGTTCAGGTGACTGAGAACAAGCCATCAATTTGAGGAGTCCAAATGTGAGACTCTGGAGAACTGATCTACAATTCTGTTTTATTTATTGTGTGTCTTACTTAGTATCTCACAGTTTTTATTTTTACTTATAAAGCTGCCAAAGAACCTTTGTAGCTGGGTGGTATTTATAATACTGTAAATAAAGGCGACACCAACATAAACATATAAGGGGAAGCGTGTGTAGATAGATGCAAGACCAAACAGGCTCCAGCTAAAGGAAACAAGGCCACTTTTATGGACTGGCAAATGATGGGCAGAATTGGGTGTCACTCAGGAAACTTTATAGAGGTCTCCCAGGCTATCAGAAGACTGTGATGTGAGACCCAAAAAGGGCCTCAGATCTTGGGGAGATGTAAAATTCAGTAATATTGATTAGAAATCTAGAACATTATGAGCAAAGTGTGGGGAAAAGAGTCATGTTTTTATGCTCTGTGGCTCTGAAAACCAGCCACCCTATTGAGGCCCCTGCTGGTTCCCAAGCCTTCATCTGGCATGGCTCAACAGATTTCCTTATTTCTCTCCAGAAGCGAGATGAGAGAGAGAGAGAGGGAAAGCAGGATGGGCAAAATCAAGAAAAACCACAACCGCATCTTGAGAGCTCAAATAACATGTTTTCATAAACAGCCCGATAACCAAAGGCTGAACAGCTACCCAGTCCTACTGCATCGCAAGCTCAAGGAAATAAGAAATAAGAAAGGAAACAAGCAGAACTATTTCTGCTGAAATAAGAAAGGAAGAAAAGGCAAGCTACCTTTTATGTGGCAGAAAGAAATTGATATCCTCTGGCTTCCATATAGGACCTTAGAATGATATTATCTACCTCTATAACATTCATGTATCTAGTGTGGTTTTAGTGGTTGGAGTGACAGATCAGGACTCTGGAGAAGAGGGTTCGATTCTCCACTCAGCCATGGAAACTCACCGACACAGCGAAACCCCTCCTTAAATGCCACCCCTACCCTCTCAGGCTTCCACTGGATGGCACTTAACAGCAGCATAGAAAAGTCAGTCGGTGTAAGGAGACAAAATGGAGACACTCTTACAGGAGAGCAGAAAACAGTCAACTTACTTTTTTTCTGCTGTACAAAAAAGGGGGGAATACATTTTTCAACGGACTCTTGGCAATCCCCCCCCCCCCCAACAAATGTCTAGAAATACCCAAGTAGGAATAACTAGGTATGATCTGGCTTTTGGTTAAGTAGGCAGAACCATGGCATATCTGTTTCACAGTCTCTATGCTCCTTCTAGAATCCAGAGGACATATGTACAGCCACACAGCAGCTGCAGTCAACTGCCTATGGCCAGGATTGGAAACATGTGGCCCTCTAAATCAGTGGTCCCCAACCCTGGGCCTCCAGATGTTCTTAGACTACAACTCCCAGAAGTCTTCACCACCACCTCTGCTGGCCAGGATTTCTGGGAGTTGAAGTCCAAGAACATCTGGAGGCCCAAGATTGGGGACCACTGCTCTAAATGCCGTCTGACTACTGATCCCATCAGCCCTAGTCAGGATAGCCAGGGATGATGGGAAATAGAGTCCAGTAACATCTGGAGGCCCAGATATTCCTTGTTCCTGGACCATGAAAAGCCAGCAGAGGCTGACATGGCTACAAAAACTTGAATGTGGCTACAAAAAAGGCAAATGCTATTTTAGGATGCATCAACAGAAGTATAGTCTCCAAATCCTGCGAGGTGCTAGTTCCTCTCTATTCAGAACTGGTTAGGCCTCACCTTGAGTATTGTGTCCATTTCTGGACAACACACTTCAAGAAGGATGCCAGCAAATTGGAACAGGTTCAGAGGAGGGCAACGAGGATAATCAGGAGGCTGGAAACCAAGCCTTATGAGGAAAGACTGAAAGAACTGGGAATGATTAACCTTGAGAAAAGAAGACTGAGCGAAAATAGGACGTCACTTTTCAAATACCTTACGTGAAGGGTGTCATACAAAGGAGGGGCAGGATCTGTTCTCCATCATCCTTGAGCGCAGGACAAACAACAATGGGCTCAAGTTACAGGAAGCCAGATTTCAGATGGTATCAGGAAAAACTCCCTAAGTGTTTGAGCAGTATGACAATGGAACCAATTACTTCGAGAGGTGGTTAATTTCTGGAGACCTTCAAGAGGAATTTAGGCTACCACCTGGCAGATATCCTTTGATTTGTATTCCTGCACTGAGCAGGGGGTTGGATTCAATGGCCCCTTCCAACGTCATGATCCTATGATTGTAGAAGAACCACTGAATGACAAGACCGCTTCAGAGCTGCTAAGATTGGAAAACTGTTTAGACTTCAACTTCGAGGAGACCCCCTCTGCCAGCTGATGACTAGAGGATTCTGGGTGTTGTAGTTTAAAACATTAACTTTTCCAACCTCTGCAGGGCTACTCGCCAAAAAGGTGAAATCCTCCCCATTAAACCCAAAAGTCAGCATGTAACAAGGGCTTTATTTATTTATTTATTTATTTTCTATCCCGCCTATCTGGTCTTGCGACCACTCAAGGCGGCTTTCTGCTCTTTCCTGAAATCCTGCACTGTATAAATTCTGTTTGGTTGCCACTTGTGTTTGGATTTGCCCCTCCAGATGCTCTGGGGTTAGACCAACAATGGCTTTATGTCTCAGAAGAGTCGTTTAGTAAGAACAGGTGGACGACCCCAAGCACACAGCTCAAATTGTGCAAACAGTGACTTGCCATCTTCCCCGCCACCCTGACCTTTCATTCGGTGTTTTAAAAATAGAAAAGAAACCGATTACATTTTTCAGCCTTGCTTCCGCAGCCTCTGGGTGGCAAGCAGCCAGCTCCGAAGGTCTCACCTCCACCTAACCCTGTGCACCGGGTTTTGCAAATAAACAAACGCCTCTGCTGAATCAGGGAAAATGATCAATTTTGTGATGAATAAACATTTGGCAGCGGAAGAAAACAGAGCTGCCGAGGAAAGTCCCTGAGAATGGTTGGCATCGGCGCATATGCTATGCCAATATGCTGGCAGTGGGAAATGGGGATACCCGCCTTTCTATCTACCAGCTTGAGGGATGCCCATTGATTAGCAAAATAAACTGATCCGCTCCTGTTCTTGTACTGCAACGCTGCCATTCCAACCCTCCCTGCCCCTTCTCCGTCGCCTCTACTTTGAAATGCCTTCGTTCTTTTCCTTTTGCCAATTAAGGATGGAGAAAAATGAAGCTGTATGTTTTCCTATGGATGGTTCATGCTCATTTCAGTCTCTCTGTTTCACTTGCCATATTTTCCAAATCTCAGAAGTGGTTTGCTTTTTTTAAAAAAATTCAGACTTGTTTCTGCCACATGGATGGTGAAGGTTTATTGGAAAAAAAACCCTTCATGAAAATCTTGATAATGGCAGATGAGCACCTTTGGAATTCAGCAAGAGTCTTGAAGTTGATGTTCTCTCTTTGCAATGTGGAGCAGCATCAAGTCATCGGAGGACACGATGAAGCACATTTACAAGTCATATGAGGCCACCGCAAGGCTTGATCAGAACTCTGTCTGAGCGGCTTCTGCACCCATGCTTCAGAACAGAGATGGGCACGAACCGGTTCGTCTCACTTCGTCCCTGTTGTTAAAGGTGGTAGCTGCTCCTCCCCTCCCCTGCCTCCTCAGCCAATCAGCACCCCAGCAGGCCCAGCTTGCTTGCTTTTCCCACCTCCTCAGCTAATCTCCCAGTCAGGAGCAGGAGCCCAGACTTCTCGGCCCCGCCCTTTCTCTGAGTGGCAGATCAGCCAAGAGGGCGGGGCAGAGAGGCCTGAGCTGCTGCCAGGCCTGGAAGATCATCAGTTGAGGAGGTGCTGGAATCTGGCACGCTGAGGCTCGTGAGGTGGCTGATTGAGCCAGAGGAGATGGGGAAAGGGATCAGCACCTGTGCTGCTGCCTGGACAAACTGGGACAAACTGGGATGAACTGGTTCATGCCCACCTCTGCTTCAGAATCTTCTACTATAA